AAAAATATTCAAATTTAAATTATTTATAGAGAAATCTATCAAATATCTATCTATTGTACTCTTTCTATTTGTTTTTATATTTTTGATTTTCAATTAAATTATATCACATATATTCAAATAATTAAATATTTAAAATCCTATGTAAAGTAGAATTACTTTTTACTATTTGCCAAATAAAGATATTATTATTTTAAATATATAAATCTTTTGACATATGGCTAAATCTAATTGAAAAAAAATCTTTTATACTTGTATAAATCTAAGCGATTGACTCAAACATGTCTCGATTGATTACATTGTATACAAATCCGAATTTAGAAATTAAAATACTTTTACCATTTTAATATTTAGTATACATAAAAAAACTAAGCAAATAGTAGAAAAATAAATTACTACACCTCATATCAATGCAGTTAAAAATAAACAAAAATTGAATTATTAGCAAATAAAATCAACTTATAGTTAGACATTCATCAAGTAATTATTAGCAAATTAAGACTCTTATTGATATTAAATAAAAACACGCTAATCTTTTCATCAAGTAATAGAAATTCTATTCCTATAAGCTCATTAGTTTTTATAAAATTTCTCGCCTCCACTTTCTGATATGACGTACTAAGTATGACGATAAACATGGTTTTTATTTAACTAGTGTAAAGTTAAATAATTGATGTTTCCCTTGGATTGAGTAGACATTATTTGTGTGATGATTAGTGAAATTTGAAATTGTTTGGTGAGAAGATTTAAAAAACACAAAAGATTCTTATATAAAAGCAGAATTTATAAAAAATTTTAGATTTAGGTATGTAAACCTAAATTTATTTGAAATTTACAAAAATTTATATATGTATCAAATTCTTTCCAAAATCTACATGGACTAAAGTAAAAGAACAAAATCGATGGAGATAATATAGAACAAAATTTTAAAGATCATTATCAACTAATTATTTTGAAGAAAAAATTTTAAGACTAAACTATGTTTATCAACTAATTTTTATTAAAATAAATAAAATTTATTTGGCACATATCAAAATCTAAATAGGAAAAA